CGGGCCGCTTCGCGTAGGCGTAGGCGACGAAGGCCGGCCCAGCGCCGTCGGACGCGTCGTCGCGCCGCCGCCACAGGGCGAGCTCCCAGGCCGACGCGCCGGCCGCAAGCTCCACGGCGCCCCACGCCGGGCTGTAGTAGAGGTCCGGCCACGGCAGCGCCAAGGCCTTCGCGGCGTCGACGCTGTCGTAGCACGTCAAGCCGGCCCCAGGGGCTGCCTCCATCGAGACTGTTAGCGACAAAAGAGTGCAGTGCAGGGCTGCAGGGCTGCCATCGCGCGCCCTTCCGGCAATATTAGAAGCTTTCAGTTAAGGCGAGCCGCAGCGAGGTATCCGCAGTCTGGTACCGGATACCAGACTGTGGATACCGCACGGGCCACTTCGTCGCAGACGCAGCCCGGGCTGCGTTTTCGCAAAAGTCGCAGCCTGGTCGCATTCTCCATGTATGGCGACCTACAGCCCGCGCGGCGACTCCTACAGCCTTCGTGACCATCGATAGCCACTCTGACGAGCTTTCAGCTTCCTCGGAGGCCTCGAAGCCGCTGCGGTCGGGTTGCCCCTGGCTGCGGCGCGTCCACGCCACATGCAAACGGTCCCAGGACCTGGTGCGGCTGGATGCGATGATGTCGCTCGACCGGGGGACGTCCTGGGACAACCTCCTCGCGTCACTGGCGCTGGAGGAGTCGCGAACCGTCACAGTGTCCCGGCGGGCAGCCGCGGCGCTCGAGCCCCGACCAGACAAACTCGACGATCTCGACTCTCGCCGGCCAGACCTTTTAACAAGGCGATGCCGGAGTGACGACAAACGATCCCTGTCGCTGCACGAGCTCGAAACCAGCTTTAGGGGGTCGGGGGAGTCGAGCGCGCCGCATTCCAGCCCCTAAACTCGCCCGTCTGAGTCGCCGCGCAATCGCCTGAATGTCGCGTTTTCACCAGTGTGTTGTCCGTGCGCGTGCGGCCCTCAAAGCTGCTGAGATCGTTGCGCAATTCCCCATATTTGCGGAGCTGCGCCACCACAAAGGCTGCCATACTCTCTCGGCCGCTCAGATGCGTCCTGCGGATAGTTCGACTGGATGTTTGATGGATGTCTGACTGATACCAGACTGCGGATACCTCGCTGCGGCTCGCCTTAACTGAAAGCTTCTAATAATTGCCAATACTAATGATTATTGGCAAAATGGTGCCTTCCAGTTCAACGCCGCCTTCAACCACGACGAGTTGCTCTTTTAAAATCGCTCACGATTCCTGGCGCTTGTTCGCCGGCGCGAGGCTCGCGTCGTGGGCGCCCGAGAGGCGGGAGTGGATCGAGTTGAGGCTGTGCTCGAGGCCCGCGTAGGCGCCGTCCGCGCGCTGCTCGGAGATGACCATCTCGTTCATGCCGCCGGGCGTCTGCTCGGCGACGAGGTGGCCCAGGGTCTCCGGCCCGGCGCCGACGGCGTCCGTGAGGATGGTCTTGAAGATGCCCGTCACGTAGGTCGCCGCGACGTCGCCGGCGACGCCGTTGGCCTCGAGCCACTCCTGCGACGTCCGCATGCGCTCGTAGCAGTCGCCCATGAGGCACGTCATGCACTGGAGGCGGCGGTACTGGTCCTCGTCGTCGACGGGCACGGCCGTGCCGACGGCGCCGTAGATCGCCGCGGCCTCGGGCACGTCCGCGGGCACGACGATCGTCGTGCCCGCTCCTTGCTGCACGGCCGGCAGCGGGCAGCAGACGACGACGCGGTCGACCCGCGTGAGCTCTCGCAGGGTCGCGAGCTTCACGGAAGCCATGAGGCTAATAATCAACGTCGTCTTCGGGATGGTCAAAGCGCCGAGGACGTCCGCGGCCTGCGCCGGCAGCACGGCGACGATGACGCAATCGCACGCGTCGACGACGGCCTGGT